TATATAAATGAACTTTTGCTTAATAAAAGGGAGTGTGAGAGGGAGGAGGGTTTAATAAAAAAATGATGTAATAAAAACTGTGATTTGTCTTTGAAATGATCGAAAATAAAGATGTCATAGAAGAAGAACAAATAAAGTCAAATAAAGTAATAAACAAGCAGGCCCTGTCTCTTAAATACGCGTGTCGTACATGTCTCTTCGTGTGTATTAACGTGTTTGCACCAAATTGTATGAGTGTGTGTGTATGCATTTTATTTGTATGTATGCATGTTGTATGTATGCGTCTACATAAGTACGTATGCGCGCTTTTGTAGTATCCCGTGTGATGAAAAAAATATGCAAAGTTTCGTATGTCGCGTGCGCAGTCAATAAAAAAAGAAAAGAAAAAAAAATAAGAAAAAAGAATATGATTTATTCGAACTAGAGGGAAAGAATAGAATTTAGATTCTTATGGTGCGAACACGACTCTCTCTGCTGGTTGTCGTTATATATATATATATATTGATAAAATTTTGAAGTTACATACACGAACACCATTATTATTAATACCGATTGTTTATAATGATATAAATGATTTCAACGCATTTGTCGAGAATGATGATAACTATTGTGTAAATTCGGTCGGTATTTTGCAAAAATAAAGGATGACAAATTAAAATAAATAAAATATAAAGTAAATTAATCGAGTCTCGAGTGTTGAAAATGAAATAAGATATGAAAAATACAATGAAAATGAATGGGCATAGAAATGATAAGAGATGAAAATAAAATAAAATAAAATATAGTAATAATATGACAATATGAGAAAAAATAAATTACAAGAAGAACAACGTAAACATATATGAGAGTTTTAATTTCTTCTTTTTCTTTTTCTTCATTCTTTTTTTTTCTATACCCACAAATATACACGTATTCCTATATAACATGTTAGATTACTAATAATTTGACTAACATTTCAATTAACATTTCAATTTTTGTTCATAAGTTAAATAGGACATCTTAATTTCGTTAGCAGAATACCGACTCGATGCATAATAGAAAAAATCATTCGGAATATCATTGAGATATATGTATATATTTATTATTTTCATATAATTTATCCGTCGATTATTATTATTACACATACAAAACAAGTTCCTCTAATATTTTTAAAAAGAACAAAAAACAAAATCACCGAAATTAACAGAAAATGAAAGAACGCCTCGTTAAAAAATTGAATCGGGATGAAAAAAAGAAGACAACAACAAAAAGTATCAAAAGTATTAAATATATTCAATAGCGACACGCAGCAATTATTATTTTACTTGACGATTAGAAAATTTTCCCTTACGTTCGTTAAAGTATGTGTGTTTCGAAAAAAAAGAAAAGAAAACAAATCACGAAGGGACGTAAAAAAATTCTTCCTCTTCGCGAAGGAATTCGAATTATTCCTGGATTCCCAACCTACCTAAAGGAAAAAGACAAAATAAGATGTCTTTGAGAAACCAAACGTTGAAGAAGTCTTCTCTCTCTTTGCAATCAAAATCACGTTCTCTTTCATAGCCTATTTATCCTTCCCGCAACTCCGTACTACGCGTCTCGAATCAAATATGCAACATAACGTATACACCATCGAGACGTGACATACAGAGGAATGAACAAACAACTATAAGTAAATACAAAAATACAAAAATACAAATGAAAACTAAAAGAAAAGGAACGTAATATAACACAAAAGTTATTTATATATATATATTTATATATATATATAAATATGGATTGTGTACCAACACGTCTTTTTCTATGTATTTTTTTCTAAGGTACTATGATTACCACTATTATTACTATTACCATTACTATTTACTAATACTACAACTACTACTATTACTACTATTACTATTACTATTACTACAATTATTACTACTACTATTATTATTATTATTACTACTACTAATACTTGCTGCTGCTACTTCTAATAATCGTTAATATCTTGTCTCTACCGTATATTTGAATCGTTCGAAATTCAATCTATTAACACACAATCTTGTACAAATATAATAGAAAATGGAATTCATCGGCACGCCGAGAACGAACCAATAGATTTTGTTTTTTTTTTTCACACGATTATTTTACTCTTGTCTATACTCAATCTCTTCTTTTTTATATAAATGAAAATCTATTTTAGATTTATTTTTATATTTATAATATAGTATACAAATAATATATTTAGTAACACATACACTCGTTAGATCTTTTATAATCGTATTCAATACATTTAGAAAGAATCGGTAATTACAGTAATTTTTGATTGAGAACATTTCTTTAAATGATTTATTTATTCCGTATCTTCCAATTATATTCATTTCTTCCTTGGAATTAATTTATCTTCCGGATAAATTGAATTCATTAATACATCGTTGTGAGACAATACGTTTATCGATCTTATTAGTATGATCTTTCTCTTATAAATTTGTATAAGTTACATATTTTGGAGTTTTTTTCTTTTGTATATTATTCAATACATTAATATATAAAAGTTTCGTTCACATAATTTCGTTAAAAAGAATTTTAGTAATATGGGTTTAATTGAATCAAACTTTTCTTGCGACTGGGAAGAAGAAATCACTGCCAAACGCGAGTTTAAAAGTTTTCATATATTCTTATTTATATTAAATTAATCATTGTTCTTTAATCTCCTAATCGTTTCATCTTTATGGCTTGCCATTATAGTAATCATCGACGTCACAAATAAGAAAAATGAAAAATAATACGATAATTTTGAAGGTTCTTCTCGGACTGACTGACAGAATGAAAGGATGTAAATTGTAACAAAAACAAACAAAAAAAATGAATGAAAATGTTTCCTTTCGTTGGGGGAGGATTTTTATTTAAAAATTATTCGAAGTCTCGTTCCGTATATAAATATAAACAATTAATCCTTTCTGCATTTTAATATTGCACATGCATTATTAAATAAAAGTATATAAGAGAAGACAAAAATTAATTAATTCATTAATTAATCAATCAATCAATCAAAATTGAAAGACAAATTTGCACCGATAAATTCGAAGGATCAATAATTAAAAATAGCGCATTATAGAGTAAACATATTACATATATATATATAAACAAAAAAAATATCAATATATAAATGAAACAAATGCGATATTACTATAGTCAAAACGTCATACAGAACGACTGCCAATGAAATTTAAATTCAGAGAATCCCAAGATTTTCTTAAAAGTGAACGATGAATGAAATATAAAAAAATAAATCTTATATTATTTCTACCCAATTCAAAAATGATGTACCTAATTTATCGATTGGAAAAATTGAAAAAAGAAAAGAAGAAGAAGGATAAAAAATAATGTTAAAAACCTAAACAAAGTAAAGCAAAAAACGAACGGTTTACATATTATTATTATTATTATTATTATTATTATGTAAATACATGAATAGAAACAATTTCGATGAAAAAGTGATATATGATGGGACGGGGGGGGGGTTACAGCCATAAAAAAAAAACTTATAATTGTACGCGTGTGCGAATTGCGAGAGAAAATACGAAATAAATTGTGCGTGAAGTGAGAAGAAGAATTAATAAAAGAAATAGTAAACGAGAGAGATAGATAACATAAATAAATAAATAAATAATTAATTAAATAATTAATTAAGTAATTACAAGTAAATAAATTAATATAAGTAAATAAGTAGTATAAGTGAGTAAGCGAGAATTTTAAATGTCCGATATGCTCCGAAAAATATGAAGAATGAGAGAGAGAGAGAGAGAGAGAGAGAGAAAGTTCTAAGTTGTCTGTAAAACTGTTTTTGTGTACTATATGAAGAAAAAAAAAAACAAAAAAGAAATGTAAATGGTTGAAAGTATTTTGAAGACCATTGCCGAAAATCGTAATGAACGACGAAAATGGGGGTCTTCAATTCTCTCATCTCATTTATTATTATCACTTGTACATAGTTCGTTTACGCTCGATAAGTAAACATTGAGTTTATTAATAACCAATGCATTAATACAAAATTTTCGTACAAAACGCGAAAGGAAAACATTGTTATTTCGTTCTAGTTGAATTCATTTATTTTCTTTATTTTTTCTCTCTTGTATATCGACGTAAATAATATGTCTAATTATTTTAAAAAAAATAAGTAGCTATGTTTGTTCATAATTTCAATAATTTGAATACTTTAATTTTAGTTAAGCATCTCGATATATTATTGTTTCTTCTTCTTTTTTCTTTTCACGTGATTATTAATGAAATTTGTTCGAAATATTTTAAAGTAAATACAAAATTTTTGGATTTTATAAAACTTCATATTAGTATATTGTAAAAGTATACTTTTGATTTAAAAAAGTTTTTAGCTTTGTCTATGATATATATATATATATATATTTCAATTAAAATTCAAGCATTTGTATCAACTTTTTTTTATAGTATTTTTTTGTTTTTTTATTCGAGCGTTAAACGAATGTAAAAAGTATTATATATTATTATTATTAATAATAGAAAGAGAGAGAGAGAGAGAGAGAGAGAAGAGAGAATTGCTTACACGGCAATGATCGAGAAAGATCGTGGTTAGTGTGTGCTATCAAATGATATACATACATATATATATGTATATGTATATATGTTTGTGTATCATTTACCAAGTTTATTCATTTTCATAATCGTTAACTCGTGCGATTAATTAAAAGTAAAATTAAATCTTGAGAGAAAGTGTAGGAGGAGGAGGGTTCATTTAATTCGTAAGAGATCATCGAATTCACATATATTATTGTGTAATGCTTTTGTGTACTACGTTCGTGACGCTTCGTGAAGTTGTTTTTTTTTTGTGGAAAAACAAAAACAAACAAAAAAAAAAAAAAGAGAAAAAAAAAAAAAAAGAGAGAAAAAAAAAAGAAAGTAAGAAAGTAAGAAAGAAAGAAATAAATAAAGAAAGAAAGAAAGAAAGAAGAAAACTAATCGAAGAAAAAAATCAAATATAAAAAGA